TTTTCTCAAATATAAAATATAGCTACAAAGAATCCATTTTACCAAAGACTAAGTGTGCTTAGTGTCTGTATATTGTTAATGTGCTTCTGAACTTATGTGACTTGTAGACTTTTCAGGTTTCCAATCAATTTTTTTTCACTCTTCCAGGTCAAAAACCAGGGTATCTTGAAAAGTTTAAAAAAACCCCAAGCCCCACCAGAATACACAGGCTGTGAGCAAGTGGGTTACAAAGAGGTGGTCTTACCTTGTCATCTCTCCCTCGGCCTCTGTAATCCTTATCCCGACTAGAGGCAGGCTTTTCACTCCTGGATGTTGGGTGAGCACGGCCCACAGGCCCACGGCCTCCTGGTCCTGGGGTCTCCTTCCTTAGGGGTCTCACTTCACGATTGGGTCGCCTGATCTGAGGTGGAGCTCTGGCAAAGTAATATTAATGGTAATTCATCAAATCACACTGCGTATACACTAGAGCCGTGGGCAGAAATGCTGGGTGTGGTCTGGGGAGGGAGCTTGGGGACATCACTCTAAGCCCTCAGAGTGCATGCTGCCTCTTCAGTGGCTCACGGCTAAACTCACATTGAACACCAGATCTGCTGTCTGAGGTGTCTGTCTTCAGGACTGCTTCATTCAATACAGACAGTATAACTAAAAGTCAAAATCTCAGTCTTCCCCCTTATGCTAATTTATATCCATCACAGTTAGGTCAAGCTTCCAGGAGGTCTTTCCTCTAATAGATACCAAATGACACCATGGTGAAGCACATCTAAGTGACATGCAGAGCACCAATCATTTTGTCAAATGTCACTCTTAATTACCAATAGAGGGCAATGCAGACTCCTTGTCTAAGAATCTTAACGGTGTAACAGAAAACCAATCCATTTATTTGTCACTGTCATAAACTAAGTGTCTTTAAGGGGGGTATGGGAATCTCAAAGTGCAGGAATTCAAAAGATACTATCTGCAGTTGATCAATTTATTATTTACACCTGAAATGATTTCCTCTGCTTTTATATTAGAAATTCTAACATTTCACTTATCCACATATGAACAGTAACACTTCACAAGCATTCTCTTACATACACAAAGTCATTTGTGTATAGAAATATTATTCATGTTTTGAGGATGTAAAAAAAACACAGAGTCACTCAAATCTGACAGGTTCACAAATCTGAATTAAGAATACACAAACACATTCATGCATATGAAGTTAAACTTTTCAAAGCACACACCCTTATAAGGCAGCTGTCAGAGAAGGAAAATTCATCTAGTTCCTCTTAACAGAGAGAGACTGCACATTGTCAAAGGGGGAAAACTTGCAAGCTCAGAACAAGGCAGCCAGGGGCTACCAGCTCTTACGTTACAGACACCACTCCCGGCCAATGACGCAGTCACATCACAATAAACCACAATGACAAGGAGCTGGTTTGGGGGTAGTTTTAGTACAGCCCATCCTTGGTCCTCTACACTATCTTCAGTGCTACAGCAAGTAACAGGCTGTTATTATCCTCCTATCAGCCTCCAAAGACAAATAAAGATAGGATTTATAAAAACTGTGAATAAAGACAATAATAATGAACAATTTTTTTGGAAGGGACTGGAGAGCACTGTGCTAAGTGAACTAACTCAGTCCCATAAGGACAAATACTGTATAAGACCATTATTGTAGTAAGTATATGAGGACCCAAGGAGGGGGACAGAGGGGTGAGGTTGGGAGGGGGTTGGGGAGTGGTTAATCATAGGGTCACACACTTTGATGGGTAAAGGAAATAAGAAAGACCCACTGTGAAAAATAATGTATATGAACTTTGTAAGTAAATCAGTATAAAATAAAAATTTTAT